TGTCTGTGAGTGCGTGTGTCTGTGTGCGTGCGTGAGTGTGTGTCTGTGTGTCTGTGTGAGTGTGTTTGAGTGTGTGAGTGTGTGTATCTGTGTGTGAATGAGAGTGCGTGTGTGAGTGTGTGTGTGAGTGTGTGTGAGTGTGTGAGTGAGTGTGTGAGTGTGTGTGTCTGTGTGTGTGAGTGTGTGTATGTGTGTATCTTTGTGTGTGAGTGAATGTGAGTGCGTGTGTGAGTGTGTGAGTGTGTGTGAGTGTATGTGTGTATCTGTGTGTCTGAGTGAATGTGAGTGTGAGTGAATGTGAGTGTGTGTGTGAGTGAGTGTGTGTTTGAGTGTGTCTGTGTGTGTGTCTGTGTGTGTGAGTGAGTGTGTGAGTGCGCGTGTGTGTGTGATTGTGTGTCTGCGCGTGTGTGAGTGTGTGTGTGCGTGTCTGTGTGTGTGCGTGTCTGTGTGAGTGTCTGTGTGTGTGTGTCTGTGTGTGAGGGAGTATGAGTGCGTGTCTGTGTGTGTGAGTGTGAGTGCGTGTCTGTGTGTGTGAGTGTGTGTGTGTGAGTGTGAGTGAGTGCGTTGTGTGTCTGTGTGTGTGAGTGTGTGTGAGTGTGTGAGTGCGTGTGAGCGTGTGTGTGTGTGAGTGTGTGTCTGTGTGTGAGTGAGTGTATGTCTGTCTGTGTGTGAGTGCGTGTGTGAGTGTGTGTGAATGCGTGTGTGTGTGTAAGTGCGTGTGTGAGTGTGTGTCTATGAGTGCGTGTCTGTGTGTGTCTGTGTGCGTGTGTGAGTGTGTGTCTGTGAGTGCGTGTCTGTGTGAGTGTGAGTGCGTGTGTGAGTGCGCGTGTCTGTGAGTGTGTGTCTGTGTGAGTGTGTGTCTGTGTGAGTGCGTGTCTGTGTGAGTGTGTGTCTGCGTGCGTGTTTGAGTGTGTGTCTGTGAGTGCGTGTGTCTGTGTGCGTGCGTGAGTGTGTGTCTGTGTGTCTGTGTGAGTGTGTGTGAGTGTGTGTGAGCTAGAAGCACTTTTCCCCAACAGTCCGTCGATGCTATACGGAGGATCTTTGTATTTATCTTTGTGTGTGTGTGTACACCCATCCCCTCGTGTGATCACAGTTCGGAGTGAGACCTCTGCTGTTAAACTGGAGCCGGTCATGAGCACACTGCCCAGGTATGGGAAACTCTCCACTCTCTCCACTACTGCCCATCACCGATTAGGAGTTGTGGGGGTGGAGTGCCCGATGGTACAAAATACCCAGGCAGGTGCTTCGTTTTGGTGGAGTTGATGGTAAGGCTCCACCTCTTAGTGGCACACTCCAGTTTCAGCAGCAGCGCCTCCAACTCCTCCTCTGAGTGAGCTGCAATTACCAGGTCGTCGGCATACATAACGTGGTTGACCAATAGGGAGCCATCCCTTGACCGCACCCCGGCATCGATCGGCCTCCCATTATATCTGTACCAGATGGAAATTCATCCGGTACAGCTACTGAAGGCTTCACGAACTACGTGGTCGAAATATATGTTCAATAATGTTGGATCCAGAGGACATCCCTGTCGCACCCCAAGATGTACAGGGAATGGCTCTGACTCCCGGCCACGTACTTTCACCCGGGCCTGCTCACCATCATGAAGGTCCTTAATGAGCGTGAGCAGAGGGTCAGGGACTCCAAAAGCACGAAGAACAACCCAGAGCCCAGGCCTACTGATGGTATCATAGGCCTTGACCAGGTCAATAAAGCAGAGATGTAGGTATTGTTGGAATTCTCTACACCTCTGCTGTAGCAGACGGACAGAAAATATGGCATCTGGGCAGGACCGGCCTTTCCTGAAACCGCATTGGGCATCTGCAAGCCTCTCCTCAGCGTGCGTAGCAAGGCAATGTTGAATAATCTTGCCAGGACCTTTCCTGGCACACTGAGGAGTCGGATGCCCCTGTAGTTGCTAAGTCTGTGCGGTCCCCTTTCTTAAAGAGGGGGACCACCAGGGCATCCTTCCAATCCTGCGGAACCCATCCAGTGGCCCAGACTGTTGTTATGATGTCATGTAGGGCAGTCTGTGCACAAACGCCACCCTCCCTCAGCATTTGGCTTGGGAGATCATCTCTGCCCAATGCCTTTTCTGGTCTCAGACTCAGGATCGCCTTTAGTACTTTCTCTCTTCCAATATTTGAGGCACCGCAGCCTCAGCAGCGTCATCCCCACTTTGTGCCATGATGTTTTCCTGGCTGAGAGATTTCCCCTCCCCCAGGACCTCACAGAAATGCTCAGCAAATCTGCAAACCTGTCCCTGGGGGTCGAAGATTGGATCACCGTTTTTCCCCTAATGATGGTAATAGGTGTGGCGCTGCAGGTTACTTTTTTGACGGAATTAAATAGGGATTTGTGATCGCGGGCCATTGAAGCAGATTCCATCTCCTCAGCAACCCGCGACCACCACCCATCCTTGCAGCGCCTCACGGCTCTCTGAACCTCCGAGCGAAGGCTGTGATAATGTTGCCGATGAGAGTGGGCCTGTCGCTTTTTC